TGTAAAATAAAACAAATTACTCAATCTACATAGTTATGAAAATGATTCTCTGAAAAACTTCTCTCAGATGTTCTTTCTAAGCAAAGTACACATTTTTCTCCACTTAGAAGAAACTAATGACAGTAGCTAGAAGAAAGGCAACTAAATTATTTCCCTGTGTATGCTAAAAGTAATTGGACAAACATTTATTTAGAAACTAACTTGTTAGTTATGAAGTAAGACACCATATTTTATTTTTTGTATCTGATGTTAAGGCACTCAATAATACATCTGGACTTAGTAATTTATGGTCTTAATGGTAACTGATACTTGTCAAAACAGATTGCCCTAAGGTGGGTGTCTAAATGCAACTTTGTATCAAAACAGCTAGAATTTTACAAATGTGTCCTTCAGATTTCTAGGGAAGATAATTTAACACCTCTTCATTTATAGTATGGAAATGAGAATAGCCAAAAATTTATGTTTTTCAAATATTAAATAGTACCAGTGTACCTAATGCTAACTTTTCAAACGTTTACATCAGTGGTTCTTAACCTTTGGGTGAATCGAAAGTTCTTGGAGAACACAATCAACACTTGAATCCAGATTTTATAAATACAAAACTAACCTGAAACATCAGGTTAGTGTGAAACCACCTTTGATAGCCTTCTTTAAAGGATGCTGATGACAGTACATTCTTAAATGCATTTAGTACAATTGCAGAAATACAAAATGTACAACCTCGAACAAAATTTTAAATCCCAAATCAAACCTGTTTCCTTTCATTTCAGTGCTCAATCATAACTTTGCTTTTAAGAATTTGTGTTTTGTGGCCTTAACTCTACCTTTTATTAATTCTAAGTGATTTGATTTTTATATATTGTATGTATTCTTTTATCTCTACAGATATTTTCTGGCAAGTTTCTATACGAAGTATGATCCAACTCACTTTGTCCTAAACACAGCTTCTCTCCTGAGTGTGCTTATTCCCAAAATGCCACAACTACATGGTGTTCGGATCTTTGGAATTAATAAGTATTGAAATGGTTTGCAACAACAATCTGCTTGCAGCTACTGAGGTTCCTGTAAGGAAGGAATAGTTAGTAAACTGCACTCTCTTTCTGTGATAATGTAAATGAGAGATGTTTACATTGGAGGACCAATTGCTGGTTCTTCATACGCTGTCTTGAAGTGCAGAATTCTGAAAGATGCCTCTATTTAATGCATCTGGTTATTTCTGAAGAGGCTTTATAGTCAGGCTGGGCAGGCCCAGCTTTTAAGTTAATTGCAGTACAGTGAGGGTACAGTAGATAAATCCAAGGAATAACAGATTTGTAAGGAATTAGGACCAGTTTATTACCAATAGGCATTATGTAAGGAAAAGGAAAAGAAAATTTCCAGTCATTTGGGCACAGTCAGTTTGAATAGACTTACATAAAAACCAGAATAATCTCTGTAAAAGTTTATTATAGATCATTTTTTATTTCAATACATTCTTATTTTATATGAGGATATATATACCCTCTTGTTTTGTACAAGCCAGTCTCTCCCTGAAGAATGCCCTTTTGATTCTGCTGGCTTATTATTGTGTGTTGATGGCTGAGGTCATTATTGTATTTATTACATTACAGAGCTCTTGACAGTCTCTCTTCATGACTGATTAGGGGTAGAAGATAGCCACATGTCTTATAAAGCAGTCTTTGACTCAGCATTCTAATTTTGGAACAAAGAGGGGTTTACTACTTTTATGGGCAGGGCTGTTAAATTAAGAGAACAATTTATTTCAAGCAGTTCAAGTATGATAGTTGAAAGGTCTATTTGGATGAGTAACATAATTGGTAAAGTCTGTTACTTTAGAAAAGGATATATAAAATGGGCAACTATAAAGTCATCTGTGGTCTAGCAGAATCTAATAGCAGTAGTACTAAAGTCATTTTAGCAAGTATAAGGTAAAAGATAACATTGTCTTTTCTTAGTAATCCTGCTTTCAGCCCTCATAGTTTGCCCATTTATATATTGCCTTTTAAATATGTGGGTCTTTTTGTAGATAACCCCAAATGGCAATTATTTCCAGAGAGCAGCTATATTTGAATTCCTATGATTTAGTGAACCTCCTTGAGATTAATTCCGAAAAGCAACTATATACTACTTTTAGAAGTAAACATATCAAAAAAGTACTACATATCAAAAAATTCCAATATAGGTTAAAACTGAAAAATTCAATAGCATAAGTAAAATTGAGTGAATAGTTGTAGACCAACTTAAAAATCAATTTGTGTCAATAAACTGACTTATAGGGTAGTGATCATTGTTTTATATCTCAAAAGTATTGAGTTTAGAAATGAGTTGTATGATACTGCCTTTGTATGTTTGTGTTTTCCCATGTATTTTTAAATAATTGGTAATTCATACTTTAATAAAAGGTTTCCTTGGTGTAAGATTATTTCAAAAGCTTTCCAATTCAGTCATCAAAACTACACTGCCACTTTTCAAGTTTATTTTTAAGATTAAGATAACTAAAAATGTTCCTTTGTTTTACTTAATTTTAAAGTTAATCTGAAAGGCTTCCATTTTTACACATATTTCAAAAATGGAAGCCTTTTCCAATTTCCCTCATTTTGCCTTTTCAATGGGATATTTGGTGGCCCACTCTGTTCCAAGTACTATAGACAGTATTACTGATTTTATGAGCAAGACAATCCAGTTCCCTTCCCTGCAGTTCTTAATCTCGTTGAAGACCAGATAAAATAATACTTGCAATTTCATAAAGTGTGATAAATTGTATGGGAAAAAAAAACAGGTGAGGGGCTGGGAAGGTGGCTCAGTGGTAGAGTGCTTGCCTTGCATGCCTGAGGCCCTGGGTTTGATTCCTCAGCACCACATAAGCAAAAAGAAAAAAAAAGCCGGAAGTGGCGCTGTGGCTCAAGTGGTAGAGCGCTAGCCTTGAGCTGAAGAGCTGAGGGACAGCGCCCAGGCCCAGAGTTCAGGCCCCACAACTGGACCCCCCCCCCAAAAAAAAAAAACAGGTGATAGAACTACCTCTGAAAGTTCTTTCCTGAGGATCTTATTTGAGTAACGTTTGAGCAACTCTAGTACCAAGATTGAAGATGATTTCCACTAAGGGTATTGACAATTATTGAAGAATTGTTGAAAGCAGGGAGAATGAGACATCTAAAGGAATCATAAAGACATAGCAAGGAGTAGAATGTTACAAAATTAGGTCTAAGAAGTAGGTAGAGAGGCCTGATAATTTATTCTATGTATGACAGAACCATTGTTGAATTATAGGAAAAATTAAAGGGTTCTAATTTTTTTCATCAACACCACTAACATTGAGAATCACGGGAATGGAAAACAAAGAATAAATTGAGACGCTCTTGTAAGAAATAGCTTATAACTGAGGAAGTTACAGATGAAGTAAGACAGTTTGGAAATGTACTTTGTATCTCCAAGCAGCTCACAAGACATTGATGAATTTGGGATGGCAAGAGGGAATTTAAGTGACTCCTAAGTCTTGGCCTTAACAGGTAGATGAATGGTTGTACTCAATTTGAAAACTTCTAATTTCACTATATACTATTTTTTTAGAGCTGAAATTTACTGGTGATAAGATATACAGTAACACTTCTTTTATGGGTGATTTTTTTTTCCTTAATACACTCTACTAGCATTTTAACTTTTTAGTATAATTTATTTTTTTACTATTTTAAGGTCATTGTACAAAAGGATTTCAAATTAACAATTTCAATTTATGAGTACATGCACTTTAGCTCTTTTGATAGCCATATGTCACTGAATTACTTGTGGTGACTAAAATCTGACATCTTCAACATGCAATGCTGTAAAACAGAAGGAATTATCAGACCTAATCAAACAGGATGACTAGGCTTTCATAATCTTTAGCTCTTGAGTTTTCTTTTCCTTTTATTCTGGCAGTCAACAATTGGCCACCAGAAAAGTGAGTTATTCTGTCTCCTGGAAGTTATACCAAAAAGATTTCAGAGCCAGGTGGCCAGTCTGAACCATTTTAGGAGATGTGTGACTTGTAAATCACCCAACCCCTGTGGCCCCGTTAGTTGTGAAATGAGGACAGAAACCAACCACTCATTATGGGGATTTCATTTAATATTCTACCAGTGTTTGGCAGATAAATGCCACTTCATTGATATTGTTACATACAAATGAAAAACTTTGAAAAGCAATCATTCCAACTGAGGTAATTGTGCATCTAGTTGTTTTTATCTGTCTTGGGTTCTATTTTTAAGTTACATACCCTGAGCTTCATACTCTGCCAGGCACAGATGAGCTAGTCCTATCCAACCTTGCTTGTGGAGTCTTTGCTTACTAAAACCCTAAAGTTTAGCAAGGGAGAAGACTGAGGAGAAATCCATTCAGAGAAATGGTAAGAAGCTCATAATCCAAGCCAGAAAAGACTGAAAAAGGTGCAAGAAAGTGAGTCCATAACTACATGTGGTTGCATGCATATGTAGTAAGCGGGAGCTATATATAATCCAATACAAAAATATACCCTGTTAAAAATTACCACTCCCACTTGCTTGCCTATTTTTAGATTAAAAAATTAAGTCAGCCGCAGACGTTTCACTCAACATGAATTGGGAGAACAGTAATGATTTTCCACTGTTGGCCTAGAAGTACCAACATCCTACTCTCCACGTCCAGCTGAAAGTACTGCATTAGGTATGTCCGCCCCACCATCTCTATTGAGCGTTAGTTCCCCCAAAACGAAATGACTGTACCTCACCCTCTTCTCAGAGTGAAGAATCCAGACAAAGGCAGAAAAACAGAATGCGGCAGAGCCCGGAAAATGGTCTTAGTGAGACCGAGTGACATCGGAGCCTGGCTTCCTGCGGGTCCGGGAGTAGTGAGAGCACACGCACAAAGTGCGAGACGAAAGTTAGCTCTGTCTACAGAGCGCCGCCTAGCGGAGCAGGAGCGGCCAGCGCGACGACGGCAGGCACGCTGGCCGGGGCTGTGGCGTCACTTCCGGGCGCCGTCCCGGCTCGCGCGGTGTGGGGGCCCCTATGGCTGGTGCAGAGAGAGGGCACGGGGGGCACTTGGTTCTCCAGGACGGTGGGTGAGGTTGTTCATCGCTGACTCCACGAATGCTTACCCACATCTGGGGATACGGGTCCAGCCCGAGTCCCTCCCCTCGGGTCAGACAGAAACTCCTGCTCTGGTCACCCGGTTCTCTTGGAAGCAGCGTTCACGGCCGCAGAGGCCTGGACTTGCTTGTCTCAGCCTTGCCCTTGCCAGGTCTAATTCCCGAAAGCCTCAGCTTCTCCAGACGGCCCTCTGCGTTATAGGTCGTGCTTCTCATCTCTGCATGGCTTCTCTCCCATTACAATAGTCTTCGCTGCCTAGCTTCATTTTTCCGATGCTGGGAATCGAATCCCAGGCTTTTCACTTCCTAAGCAAGCGTTCTAACGCGGAGCCACATCTTCCGTCCTTATTTTGACCTGAACCCCCGATTTTCCTTTGGTAAGGAAAGGACTTGCTTTGCATTGTAAAAATACTAGAGTGTTTTAGCGGTAGGCTAAAGAGGATTGGGGACGGAAATTATGGTTACCTGGCAAAAGTGTAAATTTAACTCAGAATAAAATGTGTTAGCCCTCCCTAGGAAGTTCCTCTGAGACCTGAGGATTTCAGAACACATTTCATTAATGAGGTTGAAAGGCAAATTAAAGACTGAGAGCGAGAGAGAGAACTAATTCCTGCGTATGTAGCAGGTTTGTGTTCTTTCGATTTTAAATAAAAGTGACTTTTTCCAGGCAGAAACTTAAAAATGTCATTCTGTAGTGAAAAAAAAAAAGTGTTAGTCATTTTAGTCAAGATGTGTTCCTTTAGGTTAATTTTATGTGATGATTATTTCTAAACTAAAAAACCATATACTGACTTGTGTGCATGTATGTTCTAAATAATTGTTATTTAAAGGATGATAACATTTTATTAGGAATTGCCTTTATAAAAAAAATACCACAGTTTGTCTTCATTTTGGTTTCCAAATATTTTTTTTTTTAAAGCATTGGCATAGGGCTGGGAAGGTGGCGCAGTGGTAGAGCGCTTGCCTTGCATGCCTGAGGCCCTGGGTTCGATTCCTCAGCACCACATAAGCAAAAAGAAAAAAGCCGGAAATGGTGCTGTGGCTCAAGTGGTAGAGCGATAGCCTTGAGCTGAAGAGTTGAGGGACAGCGCCTATGCCCACAGTTCAGGCCCCCCGACCAGACCCAAAAAAAAAAAAGCATTGGCATATGTGAAATAGCTTTGGGATGGGATCCACATCTAAACATGAAACTCATATATGTTTCATACACTCCTTAACATATAGCCAGGAAGTAATTTTATATTTTTATAAAATTATATTTTTATAAAATTATATATTTTATATTTGCTTAAGTTAACACAGACATAGTTGTTCAGGTGTGGAGTTTTACTGTGCCAGTGTCAATTCTCAAAAAGATTTTTTGAAATTGGGAATCAGTAGCTCATACCTCTCAGGAAGCTGAGATCTGAGGATCAAGGTTGAAAGCCAGCCTGATCAGGAAAATCCCTGAGATTCTCATTTCCAAACAACTACGGAAAAGCAAGAAGTAGATAAAGTGGCTCAAGTGGTAGAGCACTAGCTTTGAAAAAAAAGCCAAGCAAGAATGCAATTCCTGAGTTCAAGCTGTGTACTGGAACAAAATTGGAGTGGTTTAGAGTTTTGGTTTGGGGTTACTTAAAAATACAAACAAAAAACCTTGGAAGTGATGCTGTGGCACCCAGGCCCTGGGATCAGGTCCCACAACTGACTAAATAAATAAACAAATACCCATACATAGTGGAATATACCTGTAATCCTATTTACTCTGGAGACAGAGAATGAGAGGAGTGCTATTCTAATCTTGCCAGGGCAGGGCAAAATGTTTCAAGACACCATTCAACCAATAAAAGTTCCAGTGGTGGTACATATATGTCATCCAACTAACTAAGATAAACAGGAGACATTATTTGAAAAACAAAGGAAAAAAGATTGGGGGCCTGGCTTAAAGTTGTAGATTACCTTTCTAGCAATCATAGGCCCTGAGTTTAAACACCAGAACTGCCATTTTTTTTTGTATCACACTTCTTTTTTCTATCTTTAAAAGCCTTACATTCGTTAATACTTCTATTATATACAGATTAATACTCATATACACAGACTGCTAGGGCATTATGAACTTTATCATCATCCTTACAAACTTTACTAAATTCTATAGGACAATATAGTAAAAAAAAAAAAAAAAGCATTATTTTGCTTAATAGGTTAATTGCTAATATCAGTTCCAAATAATAAGCTTTTCTCTCTGTCACTATTTTCTAGAAATTATCTATACAGTAGGAAGCATGCTCATACTGAATAAGACAGCTGGAGTTTTTTCCAAACTATCAAAAAGGAAAGTTTATGGATTTTTAAGAACATTTAATTTTCATCCTGGACCACAATTTCTTCATAAACTGGTACTGGGAATTGAAACTAGCTGTGATGATACAGCAGCTGCTGTGGTGGATGAAACTGGAAAAGTCTTAGGAGAAGCAATACATTCCCAGACTGAAGTTCATTTAAAGTAAGTAGACATTGAAGTTCATTTAAAGTAAGTAGACATTATTTTATAATTCCTACCTTATTTTGAAAGAGTTAGATGAAACCATTCCTTCTGAAATCATTTGTCACATATACAAGTTAAATTTTAGGAACTTTATTATCTGTGTAAAAGCAGCTAGCAACTGATATAGAAAGCCACAACACTTCATCCTGGATTTTAAGGCTTCTCATTGTATGATACTAGCCTTTGCTGATGTCTTTACCAAAACTGAACATAAGCTCACTCCAATTGTAATTCAGTGATTTTTGTTTGCTTATCATGCTGCCTTAGATTGTAAATCAGTCAGATATTTTTTTTGCTAACAAATTTCCCTCCGAACTTTTTACTTTTTGTTATTGGGAATAACTCTTTTGTTTTACATGGACCAAAACTATCATCCCAACACTGAATATTCAAACTTTATTTTAGGATTGTGACCTATCCATTATCCTGGTATTCTTAAGTGCAATGTGTTTAAAAATCAATTCTTCAGAAACTTTTTTTCATGTTTCTGTTTCTATTTCTTATCTGTTCCATCTTATCTGAGTATCTAAATCATCTTTGATGCATTGGTCCCTCATGATTCTGTGTCCAATTAACTTACTACTATTTTCAAAGCTTTGTCCTCTTTCCATTTCATATCACACAGTTTGAGTCAGTTTGCACAAATAATTTTGAAATATTTTAAATTTCTCAGTGTGTAAAGCACTTAATTTTCCTAAAATATTTTATCCTGTCCTTCCCATGCAGACTTCTTTATTGTGTTTAATATGATTGTGTTTAACTTCTTCAGTATGTTTAAACATAATTTTGTCCTGTCTTTCCTTTCCTCATGATTTCTTTAGAATGGTTAAAAGGTTGGTTTAGTGACAAGTCTGGGAATTTTGTTGAAAAGTTGAGTCAGAAACATTTTTCTCTAATCACTATGTAGTAAATTCTTACTATAGTGTGTTGCTTTATAAAGCACATGAATTGAACATGCGTGTTACTAATATTTTCTGCTATATGATGATTGATGTAGAACCATATCAGCTATAACTGCATCATTTTTCTTTCTTTTCCAACATTATTATGAAAGCTGTCTTTTTGTTCCTTTCAGAACAGGTGGGATTATTCCTCCAGTAGCTCAACAGCTTCACAGAGAAAATATTGAACGGATAGTACAAGAAGCTCTTTCTACCAGCAGAATCTCTCCAAGGGAACTCTCAGCGATTGCAACAACCATAAAACCAGGACTTGCTTTAAGCTTAGGAGTAGGCTTATCATTTAGTGTACAGCTGGTAAAACAGTTCAAAAAACCATTCATTCCCATTCATCATATGGAGGCTCATGCACTTACAATTAGATTGACTAACAAAGTAGAGTTTCCTTTTCTAGTTCTTTTGATTTCTGGAGGTCATTGTCTGTTGGCATTAGTCCGTGGAGTTTCAGATTTTCTGCTTCTTGGAAAGTCTCTGGACATAGCACCTGGTGACATGCTTGACAAGGTAATTAATTTCATTCTTTTCTATTATAATGCATCAATTAAATAATAGATGTGTTCATCAAAGTATTTTAGTGATATTATATACTGAAAAACACAAAAAGGGTATGGTGATGCCTGTCTATAGTCCAAGCATTCTGGAGGCTGAGGTAGGAAGATCTATTTTTAAGGTCTCCCCATACTATATAGGAAGACCTTGTCCTAAAAATAGTAATAATAAAATATTTTAAAGCTAGTACATAATTTTTTAACTCTTAGCCATACTAATAGCAAATTTTATATCTACATGTAAAGGCAAAAAGAGCTTGCAGCTGCAGTCATTATTGTAGTTAAATGTTTGTGAAAAATGCTTTGTAAGCTATAGCATACTGAAAAAATTAAAATGAAAGGATATGTAAAAATTAACATACCAATTCTGTGATTAAGTTGTACCATACACATTGGGGTTTTTTTTGGGTTAGAGTGCTACTGACAACCCACAGTGCTTGTTATCTCTGCCTCTTAAGTAACTGAGATTACAGGTATGTATTACCATGTCCAGTCCTAGTATATTTTACTCATTCAGTATTTTTAGAATATTTTTTCTTTTGTCTTTTGCATATTATTATTTCAAAATGTGTAATTTTAACTAATTAAGTAATACATATGTTTTTGTTTTTGATAGGTAGCAAGGAGACTTTCTTTAATCAGACATCCAGAATGTTCCATCATGAGTGGTGGGAAGGCTATAGAACATTTGGCTAAACAAGGAAATAGATTTCATTTTGATATCAATCCACCTATGCAACATGCTAAAAACTGTGATTTTTCTTTCTCGGGGCTTCAACATATTATTGATAAAATAATAATGCAAAAGGAAAAAGAAGAAGGTACATACATAAATATACATTTTTTTAACATTAATATACTGGGATGTTTTCCTTTAAGAAGAAGGTATATATCTAATTGGTAAAGTTGGGCAGATAATCATGGATTTTGCCTAAAAATACCTAATCATTTCTGTAGGTATTGAGAAGGGACAAATCCTGTCTTCGGCTGCAGACATTGCTGCTGCAGTCCAGCACACAACAGCATGCCACGTTGCAAAAAGAACACATCGTGCTATTCTCTTTTGCAAGCAAAGAGACTTGTTACCTCACAGTAATGCAGTAGTAGTAAGTTTTGTCATCTAATCTACTGATAGTACACTTTGCAGTTCCTTACTTTTTCTCAAGAATTTTATCCTGTGTTTAAGTAAATATAGCTCTAATGGTCTGAAACTATTCAGAGTAGAAAAGACAACCATTTGTAGTATAGCCTGGGTAACAAAACCACCACGGTCACTCCTCTTTCAACTGAAAATATTTATATAAGTAATCAAGTACAGTAATTCCATTCTATATTTCTAGAAAACTGGTATCTTTGAACCTTTATTAAAATCCCTTTAAATATTCTTAAAATTCTTGATATAATCATTTTATTTAATATAACCTAGCTTTATTATTTTGATGAAGTAAAAAATGTTTAAATGGCTGGGCACTGATGGCTCATACCTCTAATCCTAGCTACTCAGCTACTGAGATGTAAGGATCATGGTTCAAAGCTAGCCCAGGCAGAAAAATCCATAGGACTCTTATCTCCAGTTAACCACCAGAAAATGGAAGTGGAGCTTGGCTCAAAGTGGTAGAGCACTAGTCTTAAGTACAAAAGCTCAGGGACAGCGCCTTGGCCCTGAGTTCAAGCCCCATGACCAACCAAAAGAAAAGTTTAAATGATTATTTGTGAAAGAAAATAATGAATTTTAACTTTTTGAAGAATCTAGTAGAATGAAAAAAAGTGGTCAGGGTCTAAAATATCAGTAACATACTTGCAATTATGTAAATATTCTAATAAAAATTGTTTATATGTTGATATCAAAATTGCTAGTGGTAGCTGGGTGCTGGTGGCTCATGCCTGTAATCCTAGCTACTCAGGAGGCTGAGATCTGAGGATCGCGGTTCAAAGCCAGCCCGGGCAGGAGAGACCGTGAGACTCCTATCTCCAATAAACCACCAGAAAACCGGAAGTGGCGCTGTAGCTCAAGTGGTAGAGCGCGCACCTTGAGCTGAAGAGCTGAGGGACAGCGCCCAGGCCCAGAGTTCAAGCCCCACGACCGACAAAAAAAAAAAAATTGCTAGTGGGTTTTGTTTTTTTTTTGTCAATCTCCACATTTTTATTACGTAGACATATCACTTTACATTCCCAAACCCAAAGTGTGATAGTTTATTGTTTAAAGCTGACATTTTCTCCAGTCATAGTTAATAGCTTGGGTTTATGTATACATATATATATAATAAATTACACTATATATTATATATAATATATATTACATATCTATATATATGTAATAGTTGTGAATTTTGGTCTTCTTGATTGCTTCAGGTTGTATCTGGAGGTGTTGCAAGTAACTTGTATATCCGAAGAGCTTTGGAAATTGTAGCAAATGCAACACAATGTACATTGTTGTGCCCTCCTCCCAGACTGTGCACTGATAATGGAATTATGATTGCATGGTAAGCCACAAGACATATGTATTCTTCACTCTAATGATGTAAATAGTACTTACATTTCACCATACTAAGTCATTTTCCTAGCAATCTTTAGGATATTGATTTCAACAATTTTTGTTTAGGAATGGTATTGAAAGATTACGTGTTGGCTTGGGCATTTTACATGACACAGATGGCATCCGCTATGAACCAAAGTAAGTGCTACTATTTCTAATTTCTATACAAGTTACATTACAGAAGCAAAGCCTGGATTTTGCTTTCACATGAGGATTTCTTTGATATTCTGATGGTAGTTGAAGGAGAGTTACATTTTTTTCATGAAGCCAGTTAAATATTTTTGAGAAAAAGTTAAGAATTAAGAAATGACTTGATGTAATTTTGACATAATCACCATGGCCTGAACTTTTGCAGTATCAAATAGGTTTCAAAACCAGCTGAAAACTCACAGAAAGCATTCAGATGTAATATTGGCCTGTGATTATGCTCTTACAAGAGTAGCTGAGCACTGGCCAGAAGATAGCTGTTTACTACAAGCCTTATTTCCTCTCTCAAATCAAAGTTTCAATAGTATCATTTTAAAATTTGCTATTAAGTTCTGCTCTCAGTTAATTCTGTAATAGTAAAGGGCTTACCTTTTATAATCTGACATAATTCTATTTAAACATTGTTTTATCTGATATTGATATATTTTAGTCCATAATGAGGCAGTTGTGCTATGTTAATCACAAACTTTAATATGATTGTGAAGGAACAGAGTTAAGTTAGTAGTGTTTGAAAGAATCTCCTGTGTGTTGAAGAAGATCATAAAAAGGAGGGTAGGAGCTAGACCATTCCAGAACGATAATACACAAAGGAAAGTTGGAAAGGAAAGAAGAATTCACAGAAACCTGGAGAATTTCTAAAATGTAAATGGATGAAAGTTTGACCTAAACTGTGTGACAAAATGTTTTTTCCCCTTTAGTTTTATTTAAAAAAAAAAAGACACCCTTCATCATTTTTGTTTCACTTATGGACTTGTGTGTGTGTGTGTGTGTGTGTGTGTGTTTCACGAGAGACTGAATACGTGGTTCAGTGCTTAGGCAAGTGCTCTACCACTGACTGAACTACATTACCAGCTCTCAAGTTTTTAATTTACTAATTTACAGACTTGAGAATAGAATTCTTTCAAAAAATCTCAAAATTTAGATTTCTTATTAATAAGATGATCTTTATTATCTTAATTTGAAAATCAATATAACTGTATCTATGTAGGAACTAATAGGAACTATTAACACAGGATGAATTATATATTAGATTCATACATTATCAAAACTAAGCAAATAGTGTACAGAACATGTGGTAGATGGATATGAAGCAAGTATTGAAATAATGTCACTTTTTAAATTTATGATACAGATGTCCTCTTGGAGTAGATATATCAAAAGAAGTTGAAGAAGCTGCTATAAAAGTACCATCATTAAAAATGAAGATTTGATTTTTACTTTCTGAAATTTTTCTACAGGTAGTATTTCAACATTAAAGTTATTTTAATATTTTATGTATCAGATTGTAGTTATATATTAATTAGCCATCTAGACTTTATTTTATGGGGAATACTGAAGGAAGTTGGTGGAAAGGGGAAAAGGAGCAGTAGAAGAGAATATGATGGCAGTATATTGTATGTTCATGTTGTTATCTCAAATAAAATAACTAGACTGCCAGAGAACCATGCAGATATCCTGATACAGAGAACAAAGAAAGGTTTATTGCTGGGAAAGGGGACCAGCAAGACTACTTCTCACAAAGGAGAAATGAGAAGCATCATCAGCTATTGTCCAGGGTGACCTTATATAACTTAGGTGGTTTTAAGAGGGGCTAGAAGAAGGGAGGCAGAGACCCTGGTGTGGACGTGTGGGCCAGGGGCTTCATCATGTCAGACTAGGATTTATGGCTGTTATCCAAATGGTAGATAAGGGTCCTGCCATTTGTTCAGACAAAAGGTCACTCTAAGCAGCTCTTGTAGCCTCTTGTTGTAGCTGCCCCAGAAGTGCCATCCCAAGGTAAATGGGATTGGAAGTTGATTATTTACTGCCTTTACTACATAGGCTGGTGTCACCTACGAAGGGAGCATGCTAAGCTGTAGAGAAGGGAAGGAGTGGACTAAGCTATGGGAAGGGACTCATTTCAGTAACACATGTAAAAACAATGAATCCTATTTTTAAAAACTGCAAGAAAAATTTTAAAGGAAGACCTGGAGAGATGAATGATAAAAAAAGACAGAGGAAGTGAATATGATCAAAGCACATTATATGCATTAATATATACTAATAAAAATAACTTTTTAAGACTCTTGCTATTCCTTATCTTATGGCTGCTCTTCTGAGAGGCTAGTATGATAGTCTTAGCTGGAAGCTAGACTAGACAGAAAAATTCAAGACACTATCTTCAATTAACAAAAGTCAGAATAGAGGCATAGCTTAAATAATAAAGTGCCATCCATGAATGGAAAAAAGAAGAGAAGCCCTGAGTTTAAGTCCTGATACTGGCATAAAATAAAATACATAGAAGAAACTTTTTCAATCACATTTTACATTTGGATTTGTGTTCTATATCTGAATTCATTGCTAGAATAATACAAATTATGAAGTGAAGTTCGCCAAAATTTTTCTGTCACGTAAACTATAAGAATAACTATAATCTGAAATTTTCAGAGTCTAAAAATTGTTCCAGGTGCTCTCCCAAGAGGGATAAAAGGAAGTAACAGAGAAAAAAGGAAAAGGGAGAATTATCAAGCTTATATTGGCAAACACATGTGCCAAAATTATAGTACAGCTAAAAGGTAGGCAACTGGTTGAAACCTTGCATGTCTTGAGTCTTCTCTCAGCCATTATTTTTGTTTTATGAAAAAGAAAACATGGTATAATAAAAATAATCCTGAGGATGTCATATATTGTAGGAATGGTAGGATGGTCTGATTTAGTCAAAACACAGGAAATACCTGTGACTAAACACAAAGATTCCCCTTATTCTCAACCTAATAATCATCTTCAAATAGTCTAGAGCCAGGTCATATGCCAATGGCTCATGCCTGTAAGCCTAGCAGCACAGAAGGCTGAGATCTGAGGTTCAAAGCAGCCAGGGCAGAAAAGTCCAAGAGACTCTTATCTCCAGTAAACCACCAGAAAACTGGAAGTGGCACTGTGGCTCAAGTGGTAGAGCACTTGCTTTGAGCTGAAGAGCTGAAGGACAGCATCCAGGCCCGTTGTTCAAGCCCCATGACCAACAACAACAAGAAAAAAAAACAGTAACAAAAAAACAGAGCCTGTGTGAAGCCAGTTTCAAAGTACAAAAAGGTTTTTTTAAAAAAAATATATTTAGAGGCTTACAATATCCATTGATATGAATTCTTTTGGTACTAAATAAAAGGCACAGTTCCTTATCATTTGATTTAATTATCCTTTAGTGTAAAACATTCTATTCTCCCCTCCATCCCCGTGTTTTCTATATTTTAGTCCATTAATCAGAAAGTTGTAACGCAGACATAGAAGACAAAGGAAAAAAGAGGCAGTTTGACTAGAGGTGTGATTGGAGTGAGGTGGAATAAGCCAAAGAACATCTTGATCCACCAGAAGCTGGAAAAGACAAGAAACAGATTCCCTTCTAGAGTCTTCTGAGGAAATTATGCCCAGCTTATAACCTGATTTTAAACTTCTATTCTCCAGAATCATAAAAGGATAAATGTTGTTTAGAGCCACCAAATTATAAATAAATAAATAAACAAATAAATAGTTGTGACTTAAAACACTTAATATAATTTGACTTGAATTAGAAGATTTAAGAGGTCTTTTAAGTTGAAGTCTTGCTGTGGTTAAGAACACAGGCTTTGGGCTGGGAAGGTGGCTCAGTGGTTAAAGCGCTTGTCTTGCATGCCTGAGGCCCTGGGTTCGATTCCTCAGCACCACATAAGCAAGAAGAAAAAAGCTGAAGTGGTGCTGTGGCTCAAGAGCTGAGGGACAGTGCCCAGGCCCAGAGCTCAGGCCCCATGACCGGACCCAAAAAAAAAAAAAAAAAAAGAACATTGGACTCTAAGAAAGACCTAAATACATTTAGCTACTATCATTCCCACCATTATTGTAGCATTAAAGCATGTGAATACTAGTTACTGTATGTATTTAATGCTTACTGGAGCCCAAGTAAGAAATGGATATAACAAAACCCTCTGGCAATTGAGCAAAGCAGATAGAGAAAAGGGATGGGGGGGAGGGGCTTAAGAACCCACTGAAGTTCAGTTGTACTTGTATCACATTTGTGTGATGTTGTAAAAGTAGAAGCAGAAATACACCAAACCATGTACCCATTTAAAATGTCTTTCAAACAAAGACATTACATGGTTTTAAGCCACAAAGAATATTGTCCTTTCTAGCTACAAACTAAACACACTTTGTTTAAATCATGGAGGATGTTTAACACTGGCAGCTAAGTTTTTTGGCTTTTGGATTTTTTTTTTTTTGCCGTCCTGGGGCTTGAACTCAGGGCCTGGGCACTGCCCTGAGCCTCTTTGTGTTCAAGGCTAATGCTCTACCATTTGAGCCACAGTACCCCTTCCAGCTTTTTTCTGAGTAGTTTATTAGATAAGAGTCATACAGACTTTCCTGCCTGGGCTGGCTTCAAACTGGGATCTTCAGATCTCAGCCTCCTGAATAACTAAAGATTACAGGTATGAACCACCAGTGCCTGGCTACATTTTCCCCCCATATTGTGTGTCAGATAGGCAATGATTTCAAATTTTATTTTAAATAAATATTTCAGGCACACATTTCAGTTTTAGAAGCCTCACACATTTGTAATATTTATCATTAAATAGCACTAATGTATACTTCTTTAAATCCTCTTTAATCATACCAATTTTAAAAAATGTTTCTAACTCTCATTGTTTATTAGTTATACTACTCATGTCAGTTTGTTTTGTTTTGTATTTTGGCCATACTATATTTGAACTCCAGATTTTACCCTTGCTAAACAGATCCTCTCCTGCTTGAGCCACACCTCCAGCCTTTTTTTGTTCTGGTTATATTTTATATTTTTATATTTTAGTTTCCCTCTTTCCTCAGTCTGGTGTGTACCACTATTCATCTGTTTATGCATTCCAATGATAGCTGAGTATGCACCACCACACTTACCTTTCTCTGTTAAGATGGAACAGTTTTGTGAGTTTTTCTCCCCTGATGGCTCAAAACATAATCCTACTTCTAAGTAGCTAGAATTATAGGTGTGAGCCACTGGTATTGGTCTTCAGTTGATAAATCTTAATGAAATCAAGTACAGGCATTCTACTACAAAAATTCTACTTATTTTTTGAAACAATAGCTGACTTGCTATTAATTCCAGAAAATGTGCCAAGGAAAATCTATTTAGCATCAATATCAAGAACTTCCATTTGGGACTGGGGAGGTGGCTCAGTGGTAGAGCGCTTGCCTTGCATGCATGAGGCCTTGAGTTTGATTCCTCAGCACCACATAAGCAAAAAGAAAAAAAGCCGGAAGTGGCATTGTGGCTCAAGTGGTAGAGCGCTAGCCTTGAGCTGAAGAGTTGAGGGACAGCACCCAGACCCAGAGTTCAGGCCCCACGACCAGACCCAAAAAAAGCAAAAAAAACAACAAAAAACAGAACTTCCATTCAAAAAACTTTATCCCATTATGTTATTAAAGATTAAAATAAAAAGATATAAAAATATTGCTCCGATATCCTTTCATACTGAAATGCTTTTTTATTGGCCTTCGGTAGGCTCTGGGTAAGATCCATGTTCATGTTGCCCAAGTCTACTTAAAACTACTATTCTTGGCCTTGATACATTTATAATATCTGATGACATCCCAGATGAAAAAGAGAAAACGTTATGGGAGACAATGGTCTTTTTTGTTTTTCTGAAGAGTCCCATGAAGTTAGTCACAGGCGGTATTAAAGTCAAAGAGTCTTTTGGTTGAATTTTAGGTTTTGCTTTCCTTCGATGTTCTTTTCCTAAAAATTAGAAGGCCACAGTTAAATGTCTCTTAGGTATTAAGATTATAGGTATAGTCTTATTACTCCCTATTTTGTTTATATAACTAAAATATACTTTAAAAATCAGATTCATAACTTACAGGTGTTAAATGCCAAAAAATTGTGAGGCCCAGGATATGGTTTTCCAATTCTTTATACGTGATTTTGTAAATATAAATAAATAAATGGTATTTTAACACCAAAGAGAAGTTTTAACGCATTTTTATGCTTTTTTCCAGCCAAGTATAGCAGTAAGTTGTTAAACAACATGAGAGTATGGTTTAAACGTGACTCGCTCTTGTTTCACCAAGGATGCCCATCCACAAATTCCTAAAACTAAGACCATATGCTTTCCATTGATGCATTATACAATTTTGTGTGATTATCATATTTTCCTGCTGTCAAATTTGAAATGGCATAACATTAATTTTATCATAAAAGTGCCTATATTGTCCTTATTTTTTCTTATACTATCACAAGCCTATAAAAGCTCCATCAATATCTTAAAATTTTGGGCCTGATAAAATATAAACCACTCAATCTATGTCAGTAATGATATAGATTATTGTTCTATGCTGTTTAGAATACTGTACCAACACTGTTTAGAAATCAGTATTAAGTGAAAAAAGGACAGATGTATGTGTGTGTGTGTGTGTGTGTGTAACTCATACTAAAGAGCTAAAGATAAATGCAGTCTTCTACTCATATTCAGAAATATACCCTATATACCCATTCTTAACATCCTTTTTCTTATCTCTAAAATAATGTATTAAATAGGTTTAGAAAAGAGAGTAAATAAAGTTCCTTCTCTCATTTTACTGTCTCTATTCTCTCCCTTGCTGTTTCTGAGTCCAATACTCATCTTGACTTCAGTGAATGTTCTGAATAGTTCTGTGCTTGATTTCAACTGACAACATAGTCAAACTGGTTTTGTCCTACTTTAAGCTTAATAGATGAGCAAGCATATACATGAAGTTAATAAGTAAATTAAGTTCTTTATTCAATGTCTAGTAATAGGAATGAGTAACATAAGATCAAGATTTAAAAATTTCCTTATAAGATCAACTTTGCATCTACCAACTACATACAAAATTGTATAAATTATGAATGTGTTCTGTGCTCTAAAATGTATAGCTAAATAAGTCCTAGTTACATGTTTAACAACTTTCTTCATGCTCAGCTGCAGAAAAGCAAAAGACAGACATTTCTAACAAGAGATAATATTTTGGTATAATTTGTGGAGGGGAAGGGAATAAACAAATCGTTTAAATAGGAATACAGGTGGACCCATTGCAACAATGACATGTACAAGTCATTATGTGGAAAAACGAACTTCCCAGGAAGGAATAGGAAGGGGAGACAAAGAAGGAGACAACAATGCTTGATATGAAATGTACTCATTATCTCGCCCATGTAATTGTAACCCCTCTGTACGGTATTTTCACAATAAAAAAAAAAAGAGATTCATATTATGGTTAGTAAGAAATGAGGCTTGTAAATGGAGAAGTGTTTTAGGTACATTAAATATACAGAGAAACTGTTTTATAGTTGCCTCCACATTTCAGATTTTGAGATTGGAACACAGAATTATAAAATGTTAGTATTAGAAGATACCTCAAATTTAAAAAAAAAAGTTACCTTTTTTAAAGACAGGAATTATTGATGGTCCTCCATTCTTCTCCAGACTAAAAAAGGAAAAGATTTTAAATCAAATGATAAAATTATTGAAGACAAAGTGTACCCAGAAAAACATATGAAGACCTATTTATTTCAGGTACTTAATTAGGCATCCATCCAGGGCCTAATGGCCCTTTTCAGGCATATGTGAAACTACACATATTATAGGTATGCAAACTACAGGTATTTTATATTCAGTCACTTATTTACTCAATCCAAACAGGTGAAACATTAAATCTGCTCAAAGTGATTACAAGAAGAGACACAAGTTTTGTTTTGAAGAAAACAGATTTGAGAAATTAGCATGTTTTCCAATTCCCACAGTTTCTATTAGGGCTTCAAATGACTATGTAAAATACTACTTAACATCATAAATTAATTTTTGAGCCAATGAAAGTTATTTAACATCAATTATAGGAATTTAAATTTTAGATTCCATGGCTTATATAGGATTAGGCTGTTTCTGGGAATTAAAGTGACTTTAAAGATGTTTTCATCTTTATACTTAAATTTGATAAATGTTGTAAGAGAACTCAAGTCATGAGAAACAGAGAAGCCAGCACTTAAGAGGCTGAATTGGGAGTCTTTATTGGAGAGTTGTGGACTGCTGGTAGACGTCTCAAAGACCAGCAGCCAGGAATGCAGCTAGCACAAAGCTTCTAAGCTTCTATAAGCTAAACCCACATAAGGTGTGAGAAATTTATCCTAACACAAGTGTTGTAACATAAGCAAAGAAAACCAAATGAGGACACTTAAACCTAATAAAGGTGTTAAATATAAGCAAAGCAAACTTTCTATGGAAACAATCAGAGGAAATCAAGGGCCAATTATTTTAGGGAAGTTAAGACTTTCCAGGGGCTTAACAATATAGGATTGAAGGAAGCAAATAATCCACAGGTCACCATGACATTGCCCAATAACTTTGGTGTTAGAGTGGAGGCTGGTAGACAATCTATGGACTTTAGTATTTACCATCACTAAGAGAGTTCTGCCTTTTGGATCTGGAGAGACTCCATCCTTTTTGGAAGCTTGGGTTACCAGCCAGTTATCTTTCCACAAAGGATCTGTACTGTCATAGGGTGGTGGGA